AAGTAAGCAACCGACAGCCTGTATAAAAGGGGGGCTGTGATTGGCTGTTACTTACGCGAGATTTGAACGGGACTTACATAGGCGTCGGATCAGATGTAGGTAGGGCGGAATTAAAAAAAATCACAAAATCAAAATCAAAGTAAAATAATAAAATAAATAAAATAAAAGGGCATTAATAACAAAAGTAATAAAAAATAAAATTAAAATAAGTTTATAGCCAAAATAATTAAAGCCCGTACACTACATCAGATTTTAATCAGATTGCACTCAAGTGTAAATAGAAAAGAATTATTTTCAACAATACAAAATTTAAAGGGCATGAAGATACATAAGTTTATCACTTGCCAGCAAATGAACACTCATACACAATTTGAGTACTAAATTAAAATACTAAATCTATCAAACCACAGCAAAGTCCTCCCTTAATCTCTGCAACAATAATCTGTCTAGTTTCAGAAAAAATCGAACTGGACAATGACATACTAATTACAGATGTATAACTTGTTCCATAACAATATGAACAAGTACTGTGTATCACCAAAATATCAGATATATTTAAATATTATGTTTATATATTTAAATTGAAAGAATTATGTGTAATAATTATTTATGCAAGTTCCTGGCAACTTAAATTCCTTATGTTTGATTTTACTTCATAGTGAATTTTGTATTTTCATTATTTAAGACTAGGTATATGTTTGTTTTTATTGTGGGATATCAAAGAAATAATGGTATACAAGTTTAAGTGGGCCACATAGACTGACAATTCAGAGTAAAACTGCAGGATTCCCAAAACACATCACAATGAGGTAGGAAAATGGTGCTTACTCAAGTACTGTACAGTTAGTTACATGAAATGTAACAGGTCACACATACACATCAACAGGCTATTACTAAAACTCAATAAACAAGTTTCAAGTTAAAGCGACATCAGTCAGTTTTTGTGCAAAAATGGGAGATTTATTTCTAGCTTGTGTAATTTTGTTGTTGCTTGGTACTTTTTGTACATCAGAGTTTTCAAGGTTATGGCGGAACTCAAGACTAGTTTATTGATGAATACGGTAATCATTTTGCTTTATACAATTCAAGGCGGGGGGCGGAGGGTTGTCAATTGAAAAATGGGTTGTACAGATTCAGATTTCAAATTAAGTTGTTCCAATTTATTTTCAGAACTTGTCGGATTGTTTGCAGTGCTTGATAAAGAGAACTGACAGGTTATAGGAATCAAGACCAAATTACTTGCCCCCTCTGGAATGCATACCTATTCATATTTCAATTGAGTTTCCCCCCCTTTATTAAATGCAAAAATAATCTGTGCAGTAGGTAATTTAAAAAAAAAATTAAAAAAAGTATCTTGTTGTTCCATACTGTAAAAAATAACATAAAAAAAGCACAATTCAATGTACTATTTACATATGAACTAAACATAGCAGTAAGACAGCAGTAAACATTTACTACCATTATGCTTGATAACTACAGCATAAAGATCCAGCCGGGAGTTAGAGAGTGAGAATGTGCCATTAAAAACACAAATAATAATCCTTCATTTTAGTAGCAGCCTTCAGTATCATACACATATTTAAGTATAAAAAGAAAGAATAGGTATCTGTGACAACTGCAGAACAATGATTTCTCAACAAAAGCTGGCTAGAACCTGATAAATATTGCTTCTAATTTACCAATTTATGGCAACCTCTGCCACATAGGTTACAGCTTTCATACACACCATCTTACATACTTCCACAGGGGTTTTTTCCAGAAAAAAACTGCAAGATGGAGTACTGCAATTCAGCGGCGCCACCAAGTGGGGGAGATAGGGTTCTCCCTACCAGGATGTGGAGTTTTTGATAATTTTAAGTTAAAATGGCTTCCTTGGGGCCAAAATTAATATCAGACAGGTCACAGTTGAAGACTGAGGCCACATGTGATCCCTGGTCAATCGGAATTTTATGGTTGCCTGAGGATCTGCTCCCCAGGGCTGCATGGCCATGGCATGAGGCTGCTGCGCCACTGTTCCCTTGTTTAAAAAAATCCCTGTTCCATGACAACAACTATGGTACATGTACCATATTTCTGCATTAGAAACACATTACTGTCATGTTAAAGAAATTACTTAGGTGGGATTCGAAACACACCGAAATTTTCGTCTACAACTGGTAACTTTATAATTTACAGGGTATTTACTGCTTGTAACAGTATCCTTAGCTGATGACACAGTCATTTTTATGGTCATGGAAATGTAGCATAATGGCTGCTGACTTTGCAAGATATGTCATGGTACCATAGCGTCCACTCGGTGCACTATCGTAAAAATGTTGACAGATGCCAGCGCTTCCACCGCATAATGGCACATCGGGTTTAGCAAACGAGGGATCTTTACGTACACAGCATAGCGTGGCATCACCATCAACCTCAGCCTGTAATGACAATGCAGTAAAACAAGATTCAGACAGAACTCTTTACAAAGAGTATGGTACATGTACATCATTCATCTCCTAATAAGCTATAATTGTCATACACTGACATACCAGTTAAATTTGGACTCAAGCTCATGTGAATTGAAACACAGTTTGTGCTAGTAAAAAAAAAATAATGTTTTGAAATGTGTGTCTTAATAGTAGCAATATATACAAGGAAATTATTCTTTTCTTGCGCACAAAAATACTTTTCATCTGATAAAATTGGCCATGATTTGATCTAACATCAAAGGTTGAATGAGAAGTTTACAAACATAATAAATTGACTTGGGTGGAGTTTGTGCTACAGGCTGCAAATTAAAGGATTCAATCTTACTTTTCTTTTTTTTTTGGATTGCTGCAAACTGAAAGTTTATATTTAACCATAGACCCTCTAAAAGAGGGTCTATGATTTAACTTTAGAGAATATAGTAGATATGTGAACTAATTGAAAGCACAAGTTTTTATGATAGTCAAGTTTATACAAGTGTCTATGTGTACATTGAGTATGCTGTGTTGATTTCATGACAAAAAGGAGGGTGTATGGAGGAGGGGGGTGATTTTATGACCCTTGTTCTACTATTTGAGCACAAATGTACAAGTTTCCATGGCTGTTACCATTCTGAGATATCGCAGAATGCATCTATGGATACTAACCGAGACAAAATAAATAATTTTTTCTCAGTGCGTTTGAATAAAATAGAAATGCTATTCATTTAAAAAAAATGTAATCTAGTAAACAGTGTTCTCACCAGATTCTGTTTTTGTGGGGCCATAAAGGCCCATTGTTTGAAAAAAGCAAGGCCATAAATTATAAAATAGGGCCGGGGGTAAATTGGTTAGGGAAATGTCCACCTACCTGTCAAAGGATGAAAATTTCCATGGTGTAACCATTAATGGGTAAATAAAATTGGATCAAGGTAAAATTGCGGCCCTTATTAGTTAACATTTATAAATAATCATACAGTCATCACACATTAGTTTAACATATGTTTATTCCATTACTATTAGTTTTCAAATTATTACTTCCCCCGTGTCATAGCAGCATTATTTTTTGAAAATACACACCAACTACAGTACATGTACATCAAATTTTCATCATCCGAGTATTTCAGCCATGGATGAGTTGTTAATCAACTTCGCTGAAATCGTCGATGTTCCTTGGCTTCATTATTAGTGACACTCCCCACAGTCACCGCTATGCTACCAGACTCAATACCATCGGCATTTTGCGTGTCTGCTGGAACATTTTCTAAAGGTATTGATTCTGTCGCCAGGGTTTTCAGTCCATACTTTGAGCATCATGTACCGAATCAGGGTTTTGGCAAATTCCAAAATCAATAAAGTCTGTGGCGTTTTGGTTTGCTCATGGCGCCCATTCCATGAGGCTTGAAATGAGTTGCGTATATTGCAAGACATTGCTCAATTGTGGGACCCCTCTAGGAAATGAATTACTACGTTGATAGCGCCACTATATAGTCAAAATGGAAAGCCGTTTGGACGCAATTTTTTTTCTGCGCCAAATGTGGCCCAATTTAATTGAAATTTTGCGCCAAATTTTGAAATATTGCGCAAATGGCGAAAGGGCACAGCCTGGTGAGAACACTGAGTAAACATCACTGCACACAATTGTTCATTTATGGGAACCCAAAATTATAGTGACCCTCCACCTTTGCCTACAAAATCAACACCATTATATGCATAGTAAACCCTAAATATGTCTATTTCCTTACTTACCTGTTGTTTGAGAAATATCTCATTTGCCTCGTACACTAGTTTATCAACTGCAATAATACCACCAAGATTTGTAGCGTAATCATTCTCTACAATCAATGACATCACCATCAATGCTTCTACAAGGAGTTGTCGATATTCAGGTTGTGGTACACGATTTAACACAGTCTCCACACTCAGGGCAAACTTGAATTCCCCTGCAGTCATTTCACTTGTCATTCCCTGCCACAGCATGTGGCCCTCAATGGACAGTCCTTGACACTGAAATGGAAGACAAACCACCTGTAACCATATTCAAGTTTATAGGTATATCATGTTGACATTAAAAATAGCACACCATCAGAGCTGTATGCCAAAATATGCGATTTTGTCTGTTCAGATTTATATTTATATTTTACATGCAGTTTTTTGTGGCTTTTTTTTTTGAGAGACACTGAAGTATAAAGTGTTATTTTTGTTGTTGTCATGCTGTTTTCCCCAAGGGTCTCATAACTACATAAACATGTGTGTTGTGGATGCTAAGGATATGCATGGGAGCTGTGGTGTCAAAGTGGAAATGCAAGTGCCACAGTCGCTCTACAGTGTATTTCACAAATAATGGACCCGCCAATCCACAATGTTATGAGGATTGTTACTCTTTATTTGACTATACACGTAATGTTACCGTACAAAAAAGTAGTCAGCTGAGTAGAATTAGTTCACTTACTCTATGTTTGTATCTTTGACAAATTTCTGTATTGATTCCATTGGTTATCATACAAGCAAGGGTCAATAGTTTAAAATACCCCTATACTACATTATTATTACCTTCTCAAGTACTTTCCATAATTTTTCATAGAACCCTACTGGCACCCTGTTCAATGCTCCATCAAGACGTCTCCTACGTAACCACTGACCCTGTTTTTCTGATGGCAAGACTTCTTCAAGTTTTTCAATGCTGGTACCGGGTGGTGACATTGGCTGGATCACACTACACCTACGTGTCTATTGACATAGGAATGAGAAAGATAGAATTTGTAAACGTTTATTATCACTCGTTCTCACTGGCTGCTCACAAAAACATACACGATTACAGCACTTACGAACAATATTGAAAATGGACACAATGAAAACATAATTTTTATCAGAGACGCTGTGGTTTTCACACAGCGTATGTAAACAGTTCATTTTACAGGCATTACATATACATATACTACTATGAGCCAAATATCAAACATGATGCAGCGTTACGACTAGGCTTTTTACTATTAGTTTAATACCTTTTTTTTTATCACAAGTTCACAATATAGTCTTTTTTATAGTCTGCACTTCACAAGATTGGAACAAAAATAGCCATTTTTTTTTAGTAAATACTGTCTGTTGGCTCCAAAATTAGGGTTCATTCCCAGAATGAAAGAATATAAGAACAAAGTACAGACAAATTTGGACTAGAAAGTGGTGGTGGAAAGGTTAAACAAATAAACAAATCTCAATGCCATTCAGCAGTGTCTACAATAAATGATGTTCACATATTAAAAGTTAAACCATGCCAAATAAAGGTATACGCCTTTAATTATACCAGTATATATATAGATGAGTTTACACGATTGTCATTTTTTTTCCTTTTGCTATCCATATACTGGTATACCAAAAAGTAATATACATTTGGGCAGAAGCATCACACCATGTATGTCATGAAATCAATTGCCATACACAGACTACTTTCTATAGTACTTAATACCAATAGATGATGCTATATGTACAAGTTGACAATCCACTGGGCATAAATTATCTCTATTTCTATAGGAATTACATTATCTACAAACATAAACATAAATGTAAAGTTTTTATTTATATGGTGACATCAATTTCTTCACTCCCGACTTTTATTTTATAATTTCTTGAAAAGACAACATTGTTAGCTACCTCCCCAATCAAGCTATGTACTGTAATATCTTTTATTTTAGCCGAAATTAATTTTTGCTCAAAATACATTTTGGTTGGTTTGTATGGCATTTATTTGACTGAATTTTTACGAGTTGAATGTAAAACAGAGAAAAATCTAATTATTTTACTATATTTTTTTTCACTGATTCATCGCTTCAGCAAAATTAAATTCCAAGGAAAATAAAGTATTCTACAGTATGACAATTAGTTATATTCAATGATGGAACATTATGATATTCACAGTACCTTGACTTCATGTTTGATTCTTGCAATGCCTGTTATCTCTTCCTTAGGTAACCCTATGATTGATAACTGCCTAGCCTGGCTGTGATTTGTAATTGTAGGATGAACTGCAAATGAAACAATTTAACACATTATACCAAAGAATGTAAATTACAACCAACATGATTAAAATGCAGATGATTTTCTATGGAAAATCAAACTAACGAAAAGAAAGAATACATGATAAACAGATTAAATCACAATTTCATACAGGGGTTATTACGCAGATTCTGCAAAGTATAATCACAGACAGTACAACACGAGTATCAACATATGTGTGTATATTTTGGGGATATTTTGTGATAACAGTATTATCAGCCAAACTGATTGAAGAAAGTATTTTTTCAAGATAGGCTTTGTTTTAGTAGCATTTGATCCATTTTGGAAATATCACATCATCAGTTCTTATTTGCGATTATTACTTTCCCAATATTAGGATACTGACATAAATAAATATACACACACATATATATATATATATATATATAAAAGGATATGATGACAGATGTATAATACATTACATGAAGTATCAATTACTGTTAAAAAGTAATAGATTTATGAAGTATAAAAACTGTAATATTCATTACACGTTATACCTCATAAGGCATATTCTGTAACTATGATTGTGATTGTGATAAAATTACTGTGGCGAGCGTGTGGACAGTGATGGGGTGTGATTGGCTGAAATGAGTAAAACTGTGCCAAAAATGCATTTCTATAACCAACATTGTAGTTCGAAATTGACTGATTCTATTAGCATTGATTCTATAGGAGCTGAAAAAATAATAAAAAAATAAAAGTGATTTTTTGAGTCATTTTTTTGATCAACAAATAAGCACAGGGTGCTCAAAATAGTCCAAAATGTTTTCAATAACTTTTACTGATGACAAGTTACATAATTAGTATGTATTTTGAGAAATCACTGTGTCCATGTGCAGTTTGAAATGAAACAATTTTAAACACAATACAATAACGCACAGGACTCATTCCTGCAAGAAACAAGTAGTGCCAAACTGATTGTCAATTGAATTGTTTTGCGATAGATGTAATTTCAGGGCATTTATACATGTAATATATCTCAGTTTCATTGAGGATTATTTTGTAAAAAAATTGCTTTTATCTATTGGTAAAAAGTAGTTTTAATATTGCTTCGACGATGGCCTGTGAAGACAGACTTTGGATTTCATAAAATACACTATCATTTGGTCAACAAGTCATTGAAAATGACACAATCCCCGTAAAATTTTTGACAGTTCTCTTTGTGCTCGTCATATTAAAGCAGAGGGGTTGCCGCGAGCGTGTCCTTGAAACTTGAGTTCCAAGTGGCGTATACAACAGATTGTTTATTTACATCAAAACACGTGTTCCGTGTAGTAGTAATATGGCCAAAAATAAAAACAGCCGTTATTCGGCCATCTTTGATCTGATTATGAAACACACTGATATGTATGATGTATCTGCTAAATACGAATGAAAATGGTACATAAATTGTGGCCAAAAAGTCAGATGGCTGTCAATCGGCCATCCTTGACCAGATTGTGAAACAAATTGTCATGGACATGCATCCTAACATGTATAAAGTACATGTATGTGCCAAATTTGAATGAAAACTGACAGAGCACGTCCAAGATACCACATAAAAAAAACAAAAACGAGATGCCTGCCAGTTGACCATCTTTGATCCAATTGCGAAATAAATCGTCATGGACATGTATCCTAACATGTATAATATATGTACCAAGTTTGAATGAAAACTGAGAAAGCATGTCCAAAATACAACATTTTCAAAAAACTGATAGCTGCCAGTTGTCCATTTTAAATCGAATCGCTAAACCACTGCATGTGCATATGTCCCACATAAGGTACTAGGCACATGCAAAGAATGAATGGAATCGGCCCACAGGATTCTGAAATATGACTCTAGACAGACTGACTCTAGACAGACTGACGCACAGACGGACTGACGCACAGACGGACGAACGCACAGACGGACGGACAGACTCAGGAACTCACGGACGGACGGACGGACAGACTCAGGAACTCACGGACAGTCGGGGACTTGTATCCTAAAATATATGATCTATGTACTAAATTTGAATGAAAACTGACTAAGCATGTCCAAAATACAACAATTTTAAAAAACAAGATGGCTGCCAGTCGACCATCTTTCATCCAATTGTGAAATAAATCGTCATGGACATGTATCCTAACATGTATAATCTATGTACCAAGTTTGAATGAAAACTGACAAAGCATGTCCAAAATACAACATTTTCAAAAAACAAGATGGCTGCCAGTCGGCCATTTTGAATCGAATAGCTAAACCACTGCATGTGCATATGTCCCACATAAAGTACTAGGTACATGCAAAGAATGAACGGAATCGGTCCAAGGGATTCTGAGATACGACTCCGGACGAACGCACGGATGGACGCACGGACGGACAGAGACCGAATTATAAGTCTCGAACGGGGACTAAAAAGCAGGCAGTGGTATGATGAAATTATGGCTTGCTTTATGCCCAAGACCTGAATGTACACATGTCAATTCATACGTGGCGTACAGGCACATATCAAGTTACAGAATATGATCCTTAAAACTACAACATCATAGTCAGGATGGTTCATACAAGTGTTGCCATGGCAATGCACAATTGGATTAAAATCTGAAGGCACTGCTCAGTTTTTCCCAGTTTTTGAACATTAAATCAATTCATTGGGAATAGAGAATGTATCCTGGGAGAGGTCATCTGAAGAAATTTGCCAATCGATCAGAGGATACCTTATTGAAATAACTAAAACTTTTCTATGCATATAACGCAACTCCCTATTCATTGTTAAAACTGAAATAATTTAAGACTTTAATTAGATTGAATAATGCCAACCACTTTTCTGAGTCACTGCAGTGCCACATATACATATATACACAAGACTTGATACGACAGATTACATTATCTAAACTAATTTACACGTATTAATAAAGTATGAAAGGTGTGACACCAACAGTGAGATAGAAACCAATGAGTCACCAATGAAAGACATACCAGATGAATCAAAGTGACGCAGGCCCTCATCAGGTGCTAGCGAATTGAAGATGAATGTAAAAAGATTCATATATTTATTGCAATAACCCTGTATTAAAATCACAATGCAGGTAGCACCAGAGAGTCATCTTCTCATCAACACTCAAAAATCATGAAATATCAAACATCCCACATGGCTGAGGAGGCAATGAAAAAAATAGAGGATACATACCACTTGTAACACCAAACTCTTTTCCACTCAGTATATGTTGAAGCAAACATTTTATTTCATACGGACTGAGATTCATTAGATGTTCATATGCTTCTTCACCTGTCAATGGATAAACACATGGTAAAGGTATGATGTACACAATTATGCTGATGTAGTGTTCTACATCTACAACCTGGATATGGAGAAAAGCAACTGTTCTCCTTGAGAGCGAAGCGAGCACAAGTGGTCATGTTTTGGCTGCTGCTACAAGACTGATGCGTGAAATGTACTCACAAAAAACATGCATCAATTGTTAAACTGAAGCTGCTCATAAAACAATGGTCCATACAAGTATCAACTTATGTAAACACAATGAATAGAATAATAATAAATAATAAATGTATTAAAAGTATTCTAGTGACTGACCTGTACATTCTAAAGTCCTTGCAAGCTCTGTTGACATGACTTGTATAATTAGACCAACTCGTAGACGTAACATTTCATTAAACAGAGCTGGCTCAGTCTTGATGAAAGCTGCTAGGTAATACAATATTTCCTGTGATGGGTACAAAGTAAAATATGTAATGAGAACAATACTGTGACTACAAAAAAATTAATCCACCTATAAAGTGTCAACGTCATAATCTTATGGCAAGGTAAAAATACTTTATTTTGGCTGGAATTAATTTTCTCTGTATGGACTTTTTGGGTGTTTAGTATGGAATTTATTTTCACTGATTCGTGATGAGTTGAATGTAAAATATAGAAAAAAAGGTATATTCACTGGATTTTATTTTCATTGAATCATTCTTTAAGCGAAAATTAAATCCAGGCGAAAATAAGTATTCCACAGTACTAGTATACAACTTTAATACCAGTGTGAGCACAACTGATATCTTCACTGTATAAAATATACAAACTTGCTTGTTTGCAGAGTGCACAGATTTTGATGCAATTATCTTCAAGTTGGTGTATATGATAGTATGAGGCAAATCTATATTTCATGAAAGGCACAAAAATAAACTTCACTGGAATCAGGGCAATTGCATTTTATGCCTCTTTGAAGTTCAAGCCCAGCGCAAAGAGTCCCTGAAGGGCCCCCCCCCCCATGTGATTGTACACGACCATACAAATAACTATACATGTCCTGAAGAAGAACATATACAAATTGACATAAGGTAGTCGCACTGGAGAAACAGGTTTGGGATTAAACTTATGGGTGAGGGGTCCCTAAGGAATAATGCAGTATACTATTAAACTTAGCTGTATTATCACACTTAATTAATACCTGTGCGAGCACTGCTATCTCCACCGCATGCAGTGTATTATTAAATTTACCTGTGTGAGTACTGCTGTACTGCTATCTCCACCGCATACAGTGTATTATTAAATTTACCTGTGTGAGTACTGCTGTACTGCTATCTTCACCACATGCAGTGTAGATGATTTTCTTGAGTTCATCAGGTGGCAGAGGAGCAGTTATAACTTTCTCTCTTGGTTCTGGTGGCATTCCTACAGTCAGTTGTTTCTGTCTAACAATGAGATCAGTAGCTGCCTGTGCTAAATCTTCAACTCTTTTACCCAGCATTCCTGCTGTATGGCGCACAATGGACCAGTGTTTCATGTGACCAGCCTAGAAAGATAACGTTTTATTTAATCTAATCAAAGATAAAATTGATCATGTAACCACTTTTTATTCACTATTAAAGAGCAGATTTGTTACCTATTTCTAAGGGAATTAAACTGAAATATTGGACACAATTTAGATCAACTGTTTTGAAGATTTTTACACCAGATTATTTTCAAATTTCCACATTACTCTGACTTAAATGATAATTTTGGACCAATGTTTACATGTTTAAATCTTGTCAACAGCAATGTCCAACAGCAGGCAGTGTATTGACATAAATGAAGCATGGTAATATGAACCGAAAGAAATGATATATACAGCTAGAACAATAGACAATCAACTTTACATGTCACGATGATACGTTACATTGACACAAATACTGAATACTAAGTGCATTTATCTTTTTTCTACTGATCATATCACACACAGTTTAGTATAAATTGACAATGTCATATAAACAGTAAAATTTAAATTATCTTTAATGTTACAATAATATTAAATTAGAGATAGTGATTTTTGGTTTTCAATTAATCAAAGTTCATGTATGTGCGGCTTCATTGTGGGATGAGACTTCTAACAGCATTCAAGCATATTCTTTAAACACGTTGCTGTACATTTGTATTATTCCATACATTATGGCAGGCACACAGTGGTATGGTTGCCAATGGTTACAGCAGGCAGCAAAATAACTTGATTGTGAAAACTGCTATCTCCCTATCAATTTCCCTTGAAACATTGCAAAACATCTTGGAAGATTCTTAGCAATGTTTGTTATGACTTTGCATTCAACGATTTGTAAATTGCAAATGAATAGTACCACCATACTTGTTTGAATTAGAAATTTAATTGTATGCCTATGATCACATAATTGTGTTCAAGTGAACTTGCATTTTAGTAATATTCACGTAATCTCTTGAAATCTTATTGTTGAAAAGTGTTTTCACAGAGATACAGTTCCCAGAAAAAAAAACTGCCGTTTACGAGCATCATTTTCAATGTGATTCAGAACAGGGCTAGTCAACAGTTGTCATTTGAATATGGATGAAATTGTCTCACGATATTCAGCCATATGTACAATTACCATTAAAATTATCATTCTCACCAAACACACAAGTTTCATGGGTAAAACAAACAAAAAACTCGATTTTATCACCCTTGGTGAAAATAGTCTATGGTCGTCAACTTGAAGGCTTGAAAGTGCTTAAGTCATAACAAACACCACTACAAATTTTCAAAAGGTATATTGCAATATTCCAAGACAAACTGATAGGAAGCTAGAAATATTTATATAGTTATATTTATATTAATATTTATAAATAGCATTTAATTCTATAATTCATGATATTCTTAGAAACCACAATTGTCAATCCAAAATGAAATTGAAATCAGGTTTCTCATAGTTATAACACAACTATGTATTTATTGGTAAAATCCAAAAAAGCGTGATATGCCTTTTTATACTTGTATCACAGTATGTCATCATATGACTTGTCAACTATGAATAGTATTAGGTTAGTAAAATAAAAATAAAACAAACCCCAACATAAAAAAAGACACGTTAAATAGTTATTTTGGTTAAAAAAACAGCATTAAAGACATTATTTTAACAAAATGAGTGGCAATACCATTTTTCTCCTAAACAATGAAATTCACTGCACAGAATCACCAGACAGTTGTATTACCCTCCCCCCCCCCAAAAAAAAAACACACACACTGATTTGTTTTTTTTAGTCCTGTCAATGTGAACACTAAGAAATAAATTGAATGATGAATTCAATGAATATCTACTCAACCCAAAAGAGCATGAATCTAATGCATGCAGTGCATAGAAAATATTTTTTTTTTGGGTCAAAAATAATACAACTGCTGGAGAACAATCATACTGTTGAAATGTACACATACATGAATCTGAATTTAACAACTATGAAAGAAGCTATTTTACTGGAGAGCAGAAAGTCACTGGAAGTAGACTGCTGTGTTTAACATATTGGAAACATGCTGCAAACCACAGTGTCTTCAGTATTATGATTTTTTTAGAAGCCAGATTAATCTAACTGAATTCACACATCAATCAAATCGTCATGCACTAAAGCAACAACAATAGCACATTACAATCGTGTGCAAACACAGTAGGCAGCACGGCAAGCAGCGAGTCAATTTGAGTAGGTGAACTATAAGAAGTTATGTTACTACTGGGGTAAAAACCGAAGAAACACACCAAAAATGAACAGTTACCTTAACTTCATTGCTATCACGAGCCGCCTGAGATCAACACCACAAAAACAACTATTAATATTTACATTGATGAATGAAATGCAATAATACAATATAGAATACAATGCAATATAGACTGAATAATTTATGAAACTTAATATATATCTATTTAAATCAATCTTTTCAGACTAAAATATGTACTTTACTACGGTGTCAGATATTTGTACGTGAAGGAAAACACAAATAATTGTAGCAGCGAATTATTCATTGAGGTCCTTAAGATAAGATCGAAGAAATGCATCCTTGTCAGCGCCCTTGCAAATATTTGAATAGAGATAATTTAATGGCCTACAATGTCTGTTAGAAATCAATAAATTTTACTATTGTAAAAGGCATGCTTGAGAAGTTTTGAAGAAATGACTTGACAGGCAATTGTTCATGTTCATATTTTGCAACATTTTATAATTAATTTGATTTATAAACTGCATTGCATTCTTTACAACAGTTACTGATTTCATAATCAAAATAACTGATCAGTTTTCTAATTTGTAAAATTAAAAAAATATGAAAGAAAAAAAAAGTCCTAGTTGACCATTTCCAGGACACTGTATATCACTTTTTACCAAAAATTACAAAAATATTCACCAAAATTAGAGAATTGAACAAATCTAAGAGAGGTCTACCCAAGATACATATACAACAAGTATCAAAGAATTCAGGCTGGTAGTTTTCAAGAAGTCGAAAAAATAAAACATGGACACGGACGACGGACAATCAAAATCACAATCATGACCAAGTTTTATCACGACAAAAAAAGACTTGCAGATTCATTGTGTGAATGGGTAAAATACATCTCATCTGTTATTTTCTCTTGAAAAAAAATGCTAATCGTTCTTTAAAAAAGTTGTTGAGCAAAGTCAATGCCAATGGATCAAACTGTAACTTTGTTATTAATGAATTTTACTTCTGCAATACATTATCTGTTTGCAAATATTCAGCAACTGTTGGAAATACCACACTGAATTCTGATAAGTTAATGGCATTTATGACCTACATATGTCGCAGGTCAAAGGACATTATGGTTGGTCAATGCATGATAAAAAAACATGGCAGATATGGAATCGCTCATGTGTTCTAAAACACTTCACGATAATCAAAGAAACAACATTTTTTGTATATCAAATCATGACTGAATAACTAATTTTTGTGTGTCAGTCTATGGTAGTACCGGTAAAGATATTTTGATTTTTTCAATGTTCATAACACCACACAGTCACTTCAACGATTTTGTTTTCATTAATTAAAGCATAGATTAGTTTCGAACCATTGTTTCAAGAAGAAAAATCATGCAAAATTTTGGAAAAGAAAAAACAGCACAATTCTGTGATCAGTATGAAGCCAATAAATTACGAAAATCTGCTAAAATGTTTTCATGGTACAGTACATGTTGTAGAAGAGTTTAATTTTCATGGAATTGAGGGTGCAGAGATATTCACCAATTTGCGAATGAAACAATACAATTCTATTGTTATCGGTAACTTAGTTTTATTTTAGTGCATTTAGTTCTCAGCAAAATAAGTGAACATAAAACCCAGAGCATAAATCATTTTATATCATTCTGCGCCCATTGCTGCCTAATTTGCATTTCAATTTATGTTTTCAGGCCCACTGCATTGATACGTTGTGTAAGATTTGTCACCGCCAATGTGAAAACGGGACTTAGAACGTATATTCAGCAATGAATTAATCCCTATACAGTCCTAATACTAGCCTCCTTCATTACTTGCCAATCAACCAATGAGTCATGAGAAATGAAAAAGCATGACAAACAACGATGATGTAAAAATAATGCTGCAAAACAAGGCATATGTAAAGAAAGCATACAGCACACAAAATCACACCATTACTTGTCAAAACATAAACCCAACACATCCAAGATCTTTTTAAGTATTCAAGGTAATAGTGATGCAATTTGCAATATACCCCATACATCTTGCATGTGGAGATGACAAATGTACATGCACAAGTTCATAATAGGTTATTATTCTCACCTTGTAATAAAGTTCTATCAATAAGCTCTCTACTGTACATCCAGGGAGTCCTGTGATTTCAGTGTCCCACTTAGGTCCTCTGTTAATACACAAAATATGTATATTTTATTATATGTCAAATCATTTTCATCACACAAATTAAGATGTTGTTCAGGAACATCACAAAAATTCAAGAACACACAAAAATGGCTGACAAATAGTCTGCAAAAACACTACACACACAATACATAGTCAAATGAGTAAATGAAATATGTATGGCCTCCATGGTATACACATGCAGTGATGTCAGGCATTTCAAAAAGGGTGAGCAAACCTTGTGGCACCCATATCTGATACAAACTCTTGACACTTGTAAGAACCAGGTCCATGAAGCAAACAGAAATTCAAAGTGGTTTAGTGTTTACTGAACTATGCTTTCTAGTTTTAGTCAAGACTACTACTAATTAGTTATATTTATGTTTCAACCCCCGCGATTTGTTTAAACGAGAGAACAGGGGAGAAGCGCCCTTGTGCCATGGCCATGTGCCCCTTTAAAATTCTGATTAACCAGGACTCGCATGTGGCCAGTCTTCAACTGTGTCCTGTCTGATAGTAATTTTGGCTCTAAGGAAGCCATAAAATGCTCCATTTTAACTTTTAAATTATTAAAAACTCCACACCCTGGTAGGAAGAACCCTATCTCCCCCACTTGGTGGCGCTGCTGAATTGCAGTACCGGTACTCCCTCTTGTAGTTTTTTTTCTAGAAGACCCCTGAACCTCACTACATCTCATTCACTGATTCCAGGGAGAATCTACTATTTCAGCTCAATACAAGTAAAGTTTATATAGTTCGATATCATACTTGGAGTTAAGTTAATTCTTTAGCTGTGACCTTATTTCCTACTTTGGTAGCCTGAATTTCTGGCAGATGACTCACCACCAAGGTATGCCTTGTACTCTGCCAAGCAAGGTAATCCAATGCTTACCGTACATTGATTTCAGTGAAGGTAAGTATAACTGAACATAATAAAATACAAAAATTCCCCCGGGGATAATTAAAAATTTTACATAGTGAAGTCATACTTGCTGTATCCTCTGCTCGCCTACCTTTACTACAATCTTCCATTGATTACTCAGACAGTGATAAAAACACAGAACTGTGAGATAGGGGGAGATTGACACCCATCACCGCACCCCCCGAATGGCCGATTTTATTGCCAGCTAAATTTATGAACTAGAGCCCGTTAGTCCACTGTGTTTAATCCAATACCCACATTGAATTTTGGTAAAATTTACGACACTAACATTTTGTGGTGACATGTACTTACTTGGCTACATAGAGATAATGTACAATATCTGCCTGTTCAGCCAATGATGTGGTGTCCTTTAACTGTTCAACCAGGTCAACAGGGTCCAATTCTTTGTACATGTTGATCACACTCTGGTCATCTGTCCAGCTTGGCCGAGTGGCAGGATGTTCAACCTCTCTGGTTTCAGACTTTTTACGTCGCAGTCTGGGAGAATGAGTTGGTGACCAGGTTCCAGGAGCAGGGATTTTAATTTCTGTTTTTGTTTTTTTTGTAATTAATTATATCAATTAGTTAGTTCATTATTTCCTGAAGTATCAACTTTCAACAGAAATGCATGTCAGCAAAACATGTACAGATATACAATGCATTATTCATTGTGCTATTTGTGTAAGTACATGCACTTCTATTTCAGGAAATATAAGCAATATATTGAGCAGATGAAAACATAGAAATTTGTCTGAAAATATTCACAGACAATATCATTCAAGTCTGGTTGTGATCAAAAGTTGACTTCAAGAAAAGTGGTCACTGTACAATCACACTGAGATAGTTGATTGATCAACTGACTGAGTTGGAGTTAAGCTTTCAAACAGATATTAATATTAATATTAAAGCTTAACAATCAACCAGGAGACACTGGATGTGTTAAATTCTGTTTTAGTACTGGATCTTTAACCTTTATATAACAAACCATAGATGGTGTTTTAGTGATGTATACTCCATCTTTTCACAAGTATATGAAAATAGTAGAAGAATAACCGAATAGAATTTCAATCTACTAGATCATACATGAATAATATGAAATCACTAATATTTGTACTGCATATATACAATACTTTAAATCATACAATAAACCAAATGGATAGAGGGGGTAACAGGTATTTAACAACTCAAAATTGAATGCCTGTTAACGCAGGACACCAACCCCTATAAAATAAAAACATGCCTGATAACAATAGTTAAAACAAATTAAAGCAAATTTTTTTACATGCGATACTGTGGACCAATTAGTATGCATTGGACAACATTTACAGGGAGACAATGAACATGAACAATGGCAGTGAATCAATGGTGAAATGAAATATCTGGGATTTTTGGGACACCCAGTGGAAAAGTCAGAAATGGGAACAAAGAAGCCATGGCAGGATGATTTTGCCTTCTACAGTGTTATCAAGAGCTGCCAATGTTATTCAGTCCTCTAATGATTGCTTTGCATAGCTTGCAGTTTATGTAAACTCAGAATTATATTCTGACAACTTGTCATTATCGCATCATTAATTCACAGAAGCGTGTTTTAATTTAGCCATGATTTGCACCTTGCTGATCTGTTAACTGCACCAACTAGTTTTTTATAAATATTCTGTGAAGAATTCTGAATGCCATCAGAACTAAATAAATCTGAGCAGTTCTTAGTATGGTTGATCATACAGAACTGACTTAAGACAACAATCTCAAAAATTATTTAAATATGCAAAAAAGCTTAATAATAATTTGAAAATTATTTGTGCCCATTTCTTTTCTCTCAAATAATTACTAAGCATATGTAGCACCAAAAAAGATCAGAAAATGCAAAATGAGCTCATTTAGTTTAAAGATGCTTACATGTAAATGGAATTGATCACCCCCCCCCCCCAAAAAAAAAAACAACAACAGTGGAGCATGAAAAGTTAATAGCTTTTGACTAAGTTCAAATGGCAGAAATTTGAATTGTCAGAGCCAGCATATAGTAATGTTTTTGTCATCTCCACTATACTTATGAATAAATCAATGGCATCGGAGAAGCACAGTGAACATGTAGATGAATTACAGATTGCATAATAATCTGGTAACCTAAAACTATATGTAGTGTGTTGAATTTCTAATTCTGTTGCAAGTACAAGAACAACTTCTGAGTTACATGTATCATTAGAGAAAAAGTTGTTGGTAGGCATTATCATGTCAAGAATAACAGTAACACAGGAAAGATGATTTCAAGCATTTTAAGCAAGAAGCAGATAGCATTTCTAAAACATAGTCGGAGATTATCAATAAAGATGAATGACTTTTCCAACACAACTCAACAAATGTGCATAAAGCCCCATTGTATGCGAACTCCAGCTAATATAACTAACTAATATTAAATGAAACGCTACATCAATGAGCACGAATAAAGGATGAAATGCTAAATCATCATATTGATTGACATAACAAGTTTATATTTCACCTGCTAATCTGATCTGATCATAATGAAATCAAAGAAAATAAGGACCTCCATGTCAAGTAAACTGATGAATAGAAGAACCACGTGCGAAACCCTGCTTCTGGTGAAAATATATCTACCTGTTTCGGTTTGGTCTACATGTACTGATCTAGTACGCTGTACTATTCCATGTACTGAACTCCTGCGTCTCATCTTTGAGCGAGCCGGCCCCGGTGCCGCAAGACTATCAGTTCTGTTGGGGGCAGGTAGATTGGGCTTGGGACATGTTGGAAAGAGTAGAGTTTCCATGTATCTGGAAATCTCCTCTCCACCTAGGAGACAATGCGTTGGAAGCAAATATTATTGCAGATGATAGAGAAGAGAAATGAATAGATTCTTAATACAATCATGCACAGCGATAGATTGGAGTTTTAGAAAGATGGAAGATAATTATCAGCAGAAGAGGAGGAAAAATTACAATGATGCAGGTTTTAGTGGGTGTGAGAGGTAAGGTCTACAGTCGTCATCAAAATCATGTACTCTACAGAAATGTTGTGCAAATTCAGACACTGGCAATGCAATTATTCAGTGACACCATAATACTGTTAAAAGATTAAGTTTAGTTTTACGTGATGGAGACTAACATTCTCAGTCATACACTGATGCCTATGGTACAACCTATACAGCAGATAGCATGCTCCATAGTACATATCGTAGAACAATGTACTGAGGAAACAACCAGACCACATATGAAGGCTTCATTGGACACCGGGAGTGGCTTTCAGTTTTTAGATAGCATAATTACTACCAATGATATCGTTTTAATGTTACCAGAAATATCCAATATGTCAATAAAAGAGCATGCACAAGAATGAAAACCAAAAATCACATGGTTATTGTCAAGTTGTTGAAGTTGAACTTCAGACACAAGCCCAAATCATGTGCATGCACTGTACGGAATAACTGAAACTCCCAGTCCAAGTGATATATTAGTTCTATATTTAGTGCTAAGTTAAAGTGAATCAGGCAAGAGTAATTACTCATGTTTTTAAAAAGCTGTAAAATAGTTCAAAGTGAAATCAACAAGGCCCTTTAAAGTCTTGCTTATTAAATATGATTGGAGGATTCCCACCAGCATTGTGAATACCAATTTGGCATAACAATAAGTTTCTTTAATACTGAAAGTGTGAAGCTTGAGAAGAAATGAATACTGGTACATTGTATATACAATTTAGAAAGACCAACAATCAAACTGTCTTTCTGTCAATCCAGCTATTGTTTAGATAATGCCTTGTTTCTTGTAGCCTGACAAAATCGATGCCAACAATTCTGCATGTAATGTAGTTTTTGTTGACATGTTGCTGACTAGTTTGCAATCTCAAGATTATTACATAGTTAGAATTGGTTAGCTCAAACCATTTTAACATGGGCATGTCAGTACATACATTATGCCGTTCATTATATAGCAATTTATAAATTGAATGAATAAATCGAAAGGCAATTGCATCAAGATCTTATACTAATATTCAACAGACACTACATCTATTTACACATTAAATTTTGATGAGCTAAGCTCATTTCCTACGGCTATACTAGTTCTATCTTCTTACTGACCTGACCTGACCATGTTGTTTTTGCCTTTTCTGTTATGTAAATCAGATTTTAGCATGAATTGCGCAATTGTGTCATTTTTATCAGTGAATGACTATCAGCGAGTGACCATGGCTACTGAAATAAACCATCCTGAACTATTATAAAGACAGCGATAGTGGACGCATTTCATCATGTAATCTGACCACTATAATCAGCAGTATTTGGCGCCTGTCAGCAAGGGCACATTAACTATTTTACATTATGTCAGGCTACTTGAATTTAGAAACGTTAACAAAAACTTTTCATAGTTACTGTAGAATACTTTATTTTCGCTTGGAATTTATTTTCGCTATTTTCGCTGAAGGGATGATTCCGTGAAAATAAAATCCAGCGAATATACTTTTTTTCCTGTATTTCACATTAAACTCATCAAAAATCAGTGAAAATAAATTCCAAGCAAAACGCCCAAAAAGCCTTTTCAGCGAAAATTAATTCCAGCGAAAATAAAATATTCCACAGTACTTTCGAAAATAGAATGTAATTTCTCTTCCCTTTTCTTACTACAAAGTAGACAAACTAACTCACAACTAGTAAGTAGTGTTATTAAAAAAGAAAAAAAACAAAAACAAGCTAAGGTGTTGTTACAAGTTTAGATAGAGAAAACAAGTTGCAGATCAAGATGCAGGAAAATATTTGTTTTCAACTTCAATCAATCCCAAGAGATAGTCTTTGTTAAATATTCACAGTCCCCAACAAAATCATTAAGAGAACGTTCAAAATTATGAAGAAGCAGGTGGTAGAGTGGTAGACAGACAAATTTACTTTCTCAGTAATGTATTCAGAACTGAGGATAAGTAATGTTAAATTTCAATCAGTACATTTTAATTTTTTTTTCAAATTTTCCAATGAAAGTGATAACATGTACGATGGGATTAACACAAATGTGAACACATAGTAATATATCGTTGCCATATTTGTAATAACAGAGTCCATATTTGGTAGCAGTATTAAATGATTGATGATATTATCAATATATGGTGATAGTGGGGACTGCTTCATATTAACTGAAAATGCAGTCTTGTTATGAAGAAATGGACGATACTGGGGATGAGAGACAGGAATAACATTGATAGATAACAGCAAGAATGAATGAGGAAAAGATCAGAGAAAATAAGAAAAGACAACATGGTAATGATGATTAAAACCACACACAAGGAGTAACACACATTTTAATAAATACAGCTATAAAGTGTTGCAAAGATGCTTCTACTCACTTCGAATCAGGCGCTCCACTGCAAGTGACAACAAAACACATGGCAGTGCATGGACAACACACACAGCAAGGCAGGCAAAAAATTAAAGTAAGAAATGACATTACATTACATAACAGTTCTCCGCATTAAATTTAACATGAGCAGTGAGCATAGCAGTGAGAAAAAAATCACACAACACGGAGGAAAATAAGATTCACCAACAAAATACAATCCTATGGTACAACCCACACAAACATGCAAGTGCTGAAAACCTTCCAAACTGTGAATACGCTTAATCATGATCAGTGAAGGGATTGTTAATAATTACATAATGTGTATGAACTATAAAAACAAAGACTTATAGTTTTATATTCTTTATAGCAACAGGTTTGTTCTTGGTTTTTAGAATTTGAACAGGAGTACTAAGAACCAAAGTTGGATGCTCTTTCGGTTGTGAACTAAAGTTCAAAGTTGCCACAAAATCCATGCATATCACATAAACAAATTTATATACTGTAAAATGACTAATTTTCACTGGGTTTAAATTTCACTGATTTACCATTTCAAGCATATTCAGTGGGTTTTAAAATTCACGGTTTCGTCATTTAGATAATGTGTTCTATGCTAAATTTTACATATTCACTGTGTTTTAATTTAGCGCATTTTTCCAGTCAGCGAAATAAGCTAAATTAAAACACAGTGAATAATTACCCCCTTTACAGTATACAATTTGTACGTGTTGCATGGGACCCATCAAACATTATTATCTGACTTCAAAAACCTTAGAATTTACCCATCCATGAAATGCTGTATTGGACACTGTTATGGACAAGTTAGAATGTCTTCCCTATTTGAGAATTGTGTGTCAAGTTAACTTACGTTTACACCACATCTGAACACTTTGTTACTGCACAGAAAGGTGCAATGTACAGGAATTAGCTACTGAACGCAAACGTTTGCATGGCATGAAACGTTATTCGCTGTAATTTCATTAAATTATTACTACAAACAAGGGAAGGATGTTATCATGAGAATACAGTATATGCACTCAGATAGTATGGAAACCCATCAAGCTCCACTTCAGTCGATATAATCACCATAGTACTGTCAAGCATACCTTGCGGTATCCTCGTAATAACCTCATGACACGATGTGGTTTGGGTGATGTTTCACAAACCGCAAATACCGGTGAATAAAAAAAGTATCTATATACTAGAACACAGAGGGAGTGAGTGAAGGTGGAGACAGATAAAACACAGTGAACACTGATAGCAATAAATATCGGAATCACACCACAAGGCAAAACCAAGAACCAATCCTGTTGCTGGCACAACACACTTCTAAATAACAGCTTATTTCAAAATGCCAAGTAAACCAAACTATCAAAAATGCAAGTATGGAAGTTAAATAGCAAAATTTGTAAAAAAAAAAATAGATAAAGCATGTGCTTTGTACGAACCACTGTCATCAGGGCCGTTGGTTGTTCCTTCCAAGAATGTAAGTCTACAATAACAAGATGTGCTGAGGAAGTCTTGTATCCTGCCAAGCTTGACCCTTACACCATTTGTGTAGCCAGTTTGTAGTTTACGTATAGTAGACGCAACAGCTGCTTGAAGGTTTTGTTCCTTATCTGAAAAAAGACCGCCGTAATGAACAAAATCAAGGTACATTGTATCATCTAAGTGCTAAACTAGATTCTTCATAGATTATAACATTCTTTAACTTTTAAATTTGATACATGGATGGAATGACAACATCCAGTGTATTTTGAAGTCCAGTGAATTACCAAAGAACACTTATTTAAGATGATGGCTTTTGCAAAAGTTCTACTGGGTTTTGTTAACCAATGATGTCATTTATTTACGGGTGCCTCAAAAGCATATCTTAGGGAGAGATGTGTGCTTGTTGATCTGCGGGTACGTATGAGGTTAGACAGATGCCATGCAAGACAAGTCTGGGTGTAATGCACACATCAGTGTTGTGGCTTCTGAATGTCTGCACAACTAACCCACAGAAAAGCTTTTGAGGCACCCGTACATAACCTTGTAACCTTGTGATGTGTGTGATGAAGTTCATGTATATCATGATTCGAGAAGCATGTATAAAAACATCACACCCATAATCAAATATTTGTAACCTCAACTAAGGAAAACAATTGTCCTCCTTATGTCAGGCAAATGATATCAGGGCCATTGATATCATTACAAATTAAACCCACTACCTTATACAACATGTGTAGAAATAATAAGTGGTTGTGAAACATACATGTATATGCTTAATTAATTAACACTTACCCAACATGCTATGTGTGACTGTCATAGTCAGAGTGGGTCGACCAAGTTCATTCCAGTTGTATCTTAAATAGGCCAAGTCAGTCTTGAACATATCTACTAAAAGATCATTGTCCAATGCCAAGTAGAACTGATGCTGATCAAAAAACTGAGGTGTAAATACAAATATCTGGTCTCGTAAGACATAGATCTTGGTGGTGCTTAAAAGACCTATGTCATGTGAGGGGCGACCTGAGAGACCAAGGTGATCATTCTTGCCTATAATAACAAATAAAAAGTTCAATTCAATTATATGTAGTACAAGAAATTATTTTACATACAATATTCAAAAAATGACCTTACTAATGCAAAGATGGCAGTAACACATATGAAGCATATATCTATGTGTTTTCAACATAAATGACATGGTATAAACCGCTCATCATGCTCTTCTGATCTGGGTGTATGTCTGAACACAGTGGAAATAGTCAAGATGGTGCCAGGTGGTGTTTTACAATGAATGGTATTGTCATTCGTTGAAATATGATCACAGATACACTCTTTATGAATACACAATGCAAGACCTAAAACAAGTACCAACACAATACATTCACACATTTTCTCACTCAAAAATAAACCTTAGAAGAAAATTGCCATCAAGATCTCATTAAGAGTGAGAGACCTCAAAATAGTTCTATTTTCTCTAGTCATCTCGCCCACTGTTTGTCTGGTATATGAAACCATGGCACTTGTATTTGGAATCACAATCAAGATGACAGAGAATGAAACACAATTTGAGAAGGGAAAAAATCTCATAGTTCTCTTGCTCTCAACATAACAGATAATTAAGTATTTCTAGAAATATACACGGTTTCGATGAAATGTGGGATCTTCATCATATAACACACAATTTACATACCATAAACTCTTTCTCTATTTTTGGTAATGTACCATGAATATGGAGTATCATTAAATCATCTGTTATTATCACAGGCAAGTGAGAAATCCGTAATGCATAAATGCAGTGAATAATACAGGGATTATGGGTAATGTAGACTCACCAAGCTGTGAATAGAGATGACTGAGAACCCTTGCTGGGTGAACTTGTATCGGTGCCACATCTGATATGGTCTGTACATAGAAATCTTGCTTTCCTAATGCCGCCTGTACTACTGGATCTTCAGCTAATATGGCAACTGTGAGTAAAGAGATAACCGGTATACAAGTATATGAAATAGCATCGTCCGAAACAAGGTGCCCAATCAGGTTGGACGTACTAAACTACCGGATCTTCAGCTAATATGGCAACTGTGAGTAAAGAGATAACCGGTATACAAGTATATGAAATAGCATCGTCCGAAACAAGGCGCCCAATCAGGTTGGACGTACTAAACTACCGGATCTTCAGCTAATATGGCAACTGTGAGTAAAGGGATAACCCATGTATGTAAATGTGTCGAAAAGGGCGTAGTGCGAGTCGCTAGTGCTAGTAGCACTAATCCGAAAAAGTACTAGATCTAGTGCTAAAATGGCACTAGATCTAGCGCTAAAATGGCACTAGATCTAGTGCTAAAATGGCACTAGATCTAGTGCTAAAATGTGCACAGTGCGAGTGGCATTGTTATTGCATTGTCAACGACGTCGAATTATAGGAGGGGCATCAACAACCACTTTCATATGCAAACTACAAACAGTATAAAACATTGGAAATATGCGCGAGTTGTCCATAATAATACTTTCTTTATATAATACCGGATTCTGCCCTAAATTCGGCCATCCGAAAAATCGCCCTTTGGATTTCATGGGTGATGGGCGCTTATTTGGGGTTCAAAATTTAAAAAAATAATTATCAAATATTTTGGGAGGAAATTTTCATTGTATCCAACTACACAGACTTTCTATGCCGTCAGTTGGGTCACCCAAGACGAAAGAAACTATTACAGAATTAACAATAATTAATAATTCTTGCTGAAAAAAAAAGTAAACCACCTGAAATTACAGTGTCGCCCAGTGTAATTTTTCAAATACATTTGTTTTTATTTTATAAACAAAAGTATATTTCAAATGACGTTTCTAATAAAAACGAACACAACTGCATTGCGTACACAGTCACTTGGGGGCTGAAAATCAATAAATACTAATTTTCAAAAAAAAATCATCCGCTATACGTATATAAATAAACAAGTTGTGAAACACAGCACCTAGTAAATCGACACCCTGTCGGTTTCAAATGTCGATTTCTTACCTTAAAATGCAAAACAAAAATTTTAGAGGGGGTCAGGTGTTACGTTAATAACCATTGTTCATAATCGCTAACTTGGTTTTATTCAAAACTGCACAAATCGCGACAATTTCATGATCGAAAATGGCCAGCAGCCAGAATCAAGGGGGATTCGCACAGAGTTCTGGGTTTGTCATTTTTAAAACCCAGATTTCAAAAATAATTGCGATAACCAAAAAGCACCTCATCAGTTACGATATATAATTTTTTTCACTTTTATGTCACCAACCTACAATTTTGATATTATAGCATATTATCTTCACCATGGGAAATGAATGAATTTTCATTTTATAAAGTCACATAACATAAAAGTTGCACTGTAACACATTCTCTACATAATGTACTTCCTGCATAATTGGTCCGTTTTTTATAGAATATATTGCAAGTCATCCATCAATTCATGAATCACAGACCATAAACTGACAATGTATATAAGCAGCCTTAAGGTAGAGATGCAGTTTATTTGTGAATTTCAATCAAAAATAGTTTTTTTCGTTTTATATATAGATTTTTATCTAAAGAACATTCTGTGAAAATTTGACCAATGAATTCTTATTGGAACACCATTAAAATTGCTGTTTATTTTCTGGTTAAAAATAAAAAACACTCACACGTGGCAATGTTTATGTCCAATTGCCTAATTTGCATGAGTAAGCAAATAACAGGACCTTTGATTGACAATATGCATATCGAGATTGTACGGGTCATAGTTCATTCAATTCACGCGCATGTGCAATTATTCTCGAATCAGTTATCGCTCGCTAGCTAACCAAACATTATATTTCCTCAGCGTTTTTTCCTAATTTTTATCATTACATTATGCGTGGTGTGAAAAGAAAGAGAGGTAGAAAGAAGATTCAGATGATTTCTATGTCGGAAGAGGCAAAAGCTACACTGAAGGCATCAGCCCGCCGAACGAAAAACAAAATCGATGTGAGCGTCCAAACGTGACTTTCCCTGAAGGCGTGAATCCGAGTTTCTGATTGACTGAGAGATTTTATTTTTAAATAATTGTTCTCAAAAAATAAACTGAGCATATGAAGAATAATTTAACATTGTTCACAGTGATACAGCTCATTGTCGAAACGAAGCTTACCCATTCACGCTAGT